AAGGTGGGTGGTCGTCCGCTATTCGCCTTATCTTTGCTAAACCCATCTAATGTTTGCAGGATTTCACCATCCGATTGAAAGCCTATGGTCGGGAGCAGATCTCCGAAGATCTTAGCGACAAGCTGAGCGACATTCTCACCACATTGGTGGAAATTTTCGCCCTTTCGACCAAGGCCATTAAGCGAGGTAGACTGCTCAAGTTCACTCGCAACGTCCTCCTGGGCACCGACGACGCCATAAATGGGGCAGTGGGTAAATTGGATAAGTTGACCAAAGTGGAAGCGAGCCTCGTCGGTGCCGAAACCCTGACCGAGGCCAAACGGACAGGGCGTGTGGTGGACACAGTGCAAACCACTGTCATGTCGACGAATGTCACAGTGCAAGAAACGGGAATGGCCGTCAATCAGATGACCGTGCAGGTCACCGAGGTACATGAGATGCTGGGCAACCTATTGATCGCGGCAAAGGACAACGATGCAAATCATGGGGAATCGGCGAAGTCGCAACGCGATCTTGTGAGGACGATTCTGCAACCATCCGCGACGGACTCGGCACAGGATTGGTACGACAGGATCAGCAAATCCCGCGTTCCTGGCACAGGAGATTGGGTTAGGCGCGAAGATGTGTTCCAGGGCTGGTTGCATCGAGATCTCCCGGTCATGTTCATCTCTGGTAATCCTGGAGCTGGCAAATCCTATCTTTCATCGAGCATTATCGCCTTCCTCAAAGACGAATACCCGCAAGGGGTACACCATCCCTCCCATGTCTCCATAGGGTATTTCTTCTTCAAGGATGACAACCCCGCCACGAGGTCATTCCACCAGGCCCTGCGGGATCTCGCCTACCAGATCAGCAGCAATGATCCGGCATATGAGAAGTACCTTGCGGCCCTTGGAGATTACGGGAGCGCCAGCACTTTGGAAAGCGCGTGGCGGACCCTTTTCGTCAACTACTTCTTGAAGAAAGAATCAATCACGAGCAGTGTTTATATCCTCTTCGATGCGGTCGATGAGGCCTTTGAGGAGGAAAGACTCGTCTTCTTGCAGCTGGCCAAGGACGTTCTCGACTCCCCGAATCACGGCCGTTTGCAGTTGGCCATGGTTGGACGTCCCCATATCAGCGACCAGCTGGCTGAAGCGCTCGAAACCAACGTTCCGACAATATATGTGACAACCCTGAAAAATACCGCTGATATTGACCGATACATCAAAACCAGCATCCAGAAATCGGCGATCTTGCGACGCGTCTCGCCAGCTCTGCGAAAGGAGATTACCGAAAAACTATCTGCAGGTGCTGAGGGCATGTTTCTGTGGGTGAACCTGATGCTGCAGGAACTAGTCAAGAAGCGCAACGAGTCCAGTATCCGTAAAAGCCTCGACCAGGCGCCCAAGGGCTTGAAGGAGATGCTGCGCCATGTCCTCCTGAGCTTCTCCGCCAGTCTGAACGATGAAGAGTTGGAATTTCTCAACGAGCTCTTGCTGTGGACCACCTGCGCCGTTCGTCCTCTCACCCTTGGCGAGGTGGAGGCAATCCTCGAGTTGAAGTCAGCCGAGGGGGATGGGATGATTTACCTCGAAGGTGCCCTTCGCAAGCAATTCGCTGCCTTCTTCAACCTCGATCGCGAGGACGGTCTGACCACAACTGAGCTCCAGACCATGGCAAACAAGACATATGAGTCAGACGATGAAGATATCGCTAAAGAGGATAGCGATGACCAGGACGCTTTCGAAGACGTTGAGAACATTATAGACTTTGATTCGAACAAGAAGTCGACCACCGTCACCTTCAGCCACGCATCCCTGGGCGATTTCTTCCGTGACCCAAACGAAGGCAAGGTCTCTGCCGCGGAGGACAAACTGCCAGTTGGAGTTGTGTATAAAGATGCCAAAGCTCATGTCCTCAGGACCTGCCTCAAGATCCTCACCGATACCGACTTTTCTGAGAAGGCTAAGGACTCCAGCCTCATGAAGACGTACGCTGCAAAGAATTGGGTGCAACACCTTCATTTAGTGCAGCCTTCAGAATCTTCGCGCGAGGACAAGAAGGCAATCGCCAGCATGCTGGCCAGGATGTTCAGTACGGAAGAGGACATGGCCAAATGGGTGCCAATGAGAAGCTGGGTCTCGACAAGCGAAAACCTGAAAGCCATTCAGCGCTGGTGGGATGATGATCCTGAGATTGTCGAGTCGCTTGCAGTCAAGGAGACCGAGTTCATCCTTTCCGTCAAGGAGAAGCCTGTAGAGACCTTCCGACCCATCGCCAACTTTTGCGCCAAGAAATGGCTGGCTGAAGACGACTGGTCACCCGCGGCCCCGGCGGCTATGATTATCAGCTATCTCAAATGTCAAAGAGGGATCGATGAGGATTTTCTTTCCCGTTTTGCACCGACTGCCGCTGAGGTCGTCGAGGCTGCCGAATGGGCGCAGATCGAGAAGACATCCCGCTGGCACCAAAGGATCGGCGTGGTGCTGCGCCAGACCGGACACATAGACGAAGCTCTGGACTATTTTGGGAAGGCGACCGCAATAGATCCGAACAACTGGATTGCCAAAGCAGGCATGGCCATAGCACACTCGAGTAGGAAAGAATGGGCGACCACCCTTTTGCTCGACGAGGAAGTAGAAGCACTCGTGGAAAGGCAGATTATTGACCAGCCTGATCAGAAGAAACGGCTGTCTTCAAGCTTGCACACAACACTGGATCGCATGGCAACCTGCTATAAGGAGCTGGGGCAAGCGGAAAAGCATTATATTAAGATGAAGAAAGCTCTTGCGCTTGAGCCCTGGTGCGGCGGGTGCGCGTATGCGATCCTACGTTTCCAAAACGAAACGGACCGGTTCGACGAGACCATCTCTCTTGTGGAAGAATTTGCTGATGCACAAGTTCCCGATAAAGAGTACAATCGACTGACCGAGTTTCTATGGCAGATGCCAACTGTGGATGACAAGGTTCTTGAGTACTTAGCAGTCGCTGGTCAGGCCACGGGTAACCTCGACCTCATAGTCCGTTCGTACCGCGACGCGGCCCGAGCGGCCCGAAAGTCGTCCATGACGGTTGTCGCGGCCAATTTGGACCTTTCGCTTGCGCGTCTCTATTCCGAATACACCCGAGAGGAAGACAAGGCGACGAAGCGGTGGGAGAGGATCCTTAACACGTATGGATCCGCCAAGGAAGAAGGCCAGATTGGTGGAGCCAAGGTGATCGCTTCCTCCAAGCTGGCCCAACTTTGGCTGTGTCATGCTATCGATGCCGGCGTGGGTTCCCCCGAGGCGGAGGAGTACATCAGCCGATTGGAGCAGTTGGTAGCACGGTACAAGACCGAGGACACGTCCGCTTTCTGGATCGCCGCGCGGGCTCGGGCCATTTCTCTGGGACTGTGGTACCGCCTGACTGGCCGACACGACGAGGCCCGGGCTCTACTCGCTCCCTCCGTCAAACGGGCTATACAGATTTTATCCGACGATGACCCAGAGAACGACAACGCAGGTTTGACTGATTTGCAAAATGCTCTACTCGCTGCCGGTGACGTCAAGAATGTGATTGCGATTGCCTATGCTCTCGGAGGATATGCGGATAAAAAAGCGGCGGAGAATGAGGAAAGCGAGTATTATGGATACACTTGCGATGGACCGTGCCGAAGGGAGTTCCAAACGTTGGACGGCATTTCGTTGTGCTCGATCTGCTTTGACACGGGCTTTTGCAAGGATTGCTCCGAGCTGCTGCGGTCTGGGGCCATGCCGTTCCAAGTATGTAGGGCAACCCATGCAAAGGACTTCGTATATATTCCGCCTCAGCCACAGAAGGTGGAGGCCAACCGAGTTCTGGTGGAAGGACAGGTTCTGACCTATGAGGAATGGCTCGCTCAGTTGAAGAAGGAATGGAAGGTGTAAGGCGACAGTAGCTGGGATTGACGGGAAGTGGCTAGGCTAGTTTTGTCATGTTACAATCGCACGCAATTCATTAAAGTATCGCCGCAAGTGGATTCATCTATCAGTAGGGAGGACATGATGAGGATGATGAACTGACCTTAGGGTGAGGAGAAGGAGAGAGAGAGAGAGAAAACAAATGGCTGCCCCAAAAGTAAAACAACTGTCTGTAGGCTGCCAGGATTATCAGGCACTGACTACTACTACCATCCCAATATTTTCACTATTCATCACCCCAGACTCGAAATGTCTACATGTACAAACTATCCATCTGAGAGGGGTCAATTCTTAGCTCGCCGCAGAACTCAATGTTGCATGGCAAGATCGTCGCGACATCGTCACAGGACTTCCTCAGCACTGGATCTCAGGTCATCTGGAGTGCTGGCTCGGCAAATGGGGAAGTTTGAGCGAATATTACCAAGTAAAATATATAGATATCCTGGAGGTGTGGTTGGGATAATGGAAAAGTAGGTGGTAATCATAATATTACCTTACTGTAATTGATATATCCGTTATACGCAGTCCAAATGGTCCTAACACGCATGGATCTGAGGGTGGATTACTCTCTGGTCTTTGGTGACGGCGAATTACTAGAAGCGGTATAGCGTTCCTATTTGAGGAAAGCGCGTGGTTGAGGCTTGGCATTAAGGTCCGTGGTCTATACGGAGTATAGCTTCCTCCTTGCCCCCTCCAGATTATGGCCTGAATTATTCCGGCCAGCTTTGATCCTGATTTCATCAGCCCGAGTGTGGTTCAGCCCAGGCATTCGGCATACAGGGCTTCTCGGGCGTTTAGTTTGTCAGCCTAGGGTTTCCATGTGAAACACTATTCCGCACGCACTAGAGCACATAGCTTCTGTGCGTTGGCTTCGATAGGATGCCACTGTGACCAACTATCTTCGCCTTCAGCTAGCCACAACCTGGGGGTTCAGGCAGCCATCGCAAATATAAAGTAACCACGCAGTCCTGATCAGATTTGCCCAGAATAAAGGCCGCTTGATCTTCTGATTGCGGGAATATCAAGACTTAAATTGACATTTGCTGATACTTGTCTACCATTATCAAGTCTCACACCATGGCAGAACCTTTACCAACTTCCACAGACAAACTTCTAACTGTTCCCCCTTATCCCGATGGTTTGCAACAGGTTAAGTTGGAACGTTTAAGCGATGAGAAGTTCACAGAATTGAAGTCAAAATTTGCTGGTGAAGATGCACATCATACTGCCGCCCAGCTGAGTCATGTGGCTAACGCGGGCAACCTCGCTGCAATGTATGTTATGGCAAGCTATTCCTTCACTAAAATGGAGAACCAGTACATTAATCTAGAAATAGGCGCCAATGGCACAGCACGCAAGAGACTGTGTATGTCCGACAAGGCTCTTTTGAATTCCCTCGCGCCATGGACTACAACAACACACTCGTCCATTTATATCTCAACTCATACGACCCATCGTACCGCGGAAATAAGAATGACAACACTTCTTTCAACTTTTGGGACGCCCATGGTAGGATCTGCCTCCATATTTCCTTTCGGCGACACCAGCGTAAAGTCATTTTTAACGAGATGCTCAACGGGCATTGGTGTTCTGAGGTTGTTATCGACTTCCCTGACTGCATCAAGGACCGAAAACGCGTGGACCTCCAGGTCTGGACTGGCGGTAGTAAATCAACTATTTTGTTCAATACAGAGGGTTGGGAGGTAGACCATGGTGGCCCTGCTACTGCGCTAACCTATCGGGCGAATGATAGTGGCGATGCAATGTTTGAGAGCTCGCTCGTGGCCCAGTTCAGCTGGAGGGAATAGACCAGACCATATAGCCTGAGTCTACTAGTCTACAGACATGGAAAGGCTTCCAAATCTGGCTCTGTAGCATGATAATCTTTTAGTTATCTAATTGAACGTTTTCCCGCGAAGTCTTTTTGCTGTTTCAAGAGACGTTACGACCATTATAGCGGTTAAACCCTTATGCAGGCCAGTCTCACAGAGCGCCCTGTGCGAATCCAGGTTCTTTTCGGTTCCGCCTCTATTGAGCGGAAGATAGCTTTTGATCTCCCCACTTGCCGATGTCCTTGTCAGTGATCCGACTTGGGGTTGGATAATAGGAGCCCTAAGGTTCAAGAACTACTTTGTTAATTTGCTGCGTATGTCAATTATTGCCGTCATGGTATATTTTTCTAACCAAGTCGCAGAGGCAGGTTATTACATTCCCTACTGAGAGTGGAGATTCTAATATCAGTACTGCTAAAAGCTTTCAGGTAATCGCCGCACTGCCTTTATCATTATATGATCAAGAATGAGGCTGGCATCACCTAACAGGATGGAAAATACCGTGTCAGTACACCCGCTGAGGCGGAGTGAACGAAGTCCTTGCGGTGTTCTACTGTTGCTGTTCCGCTTTGACTCGTGGTGCGCAAAGTCAGCCAGCCAGCTTGCAGGGTGTGATACTGTGAAGGTGGTAAACTGATAAGTTCTACATTTATTTGGGATAGTCTGGCACTGTGGCAGACAGATTAGTCATTGATCTGTCTTAATAGGGTGATCGAGTACGCTGGGTGTTGGTTCAACCCATATCCAACCCACGACCGACTAGTCTATCATATAGCCTACAGCTAATAGCCTCGGCACACACATCATGTTCTTATTTCCTCACCAGCAGGATAATCCGCTAATCGTGTGTCCTCGTCCATCACTTCCACCGGTCGCATTCCATCATAATTACTCTTTATACTAGATTTTGATCCTTAAAGCGAGCTTTTGTATTCAGCTCAATTGGAAATATCCCAAATTAACCATGTCTTCACCAAGCAAAGGAGAAAACAACCTTCCCATCCTCCTGGCTTCGATGCGACCTACTGTACACCTGGAGACATTTGTCTTTCTCACCACAACGCGGCGAATCGAAGATCTCCCCCTTCAGTCTCTGAAACCAGAGATGCTATTTCAAGAAGACGAGGGCTTGAGCATCGTCACCACTAAAGATCTGGCCGAGTCAAATGGGCTGCGCGAGTATACGTTTCCGTGCAAGAAGATCTCATTGGCCGTGCATTCCAGCCTGGAGGCCGTGGGCCTGATTGCTGCGATCTCGTCGGAGCTCGCTAGTCATGGAATCAGTACCAATGTGGTCAGTGGCTATTACCACGATCACATCTTTGTGCCTCTAGGAAAGGAGCATGCTGCTTTGCAAGTGCTGCAGGACATGATGAAGGCGGCAGAGTCAACAGTAGAGAAATAGCCCTGTCTACTACATGATTTGCTAATCTGATTTAATGAGCTGATATCATAACCTACATCGAGAAGATCAATTGGGTCTCCGCACATTGAATGATTGGTGATGGTGACGAGGCTGAAAAGATGCCGATCTAGAACCGTAGCTGGGATCAGGCAGAAGAGAGGGGTGACTCACAAGGCTGTCGAGCGAACACGTCAACCAGTGAGTGACAGGGATACTCTGTGTACTGGAACCCATCCGAGTGATGCTGGGAGTGAGGGGGCTGATTTCCCACCAGGCACATTCACTGGTTTCCGACGAGGGACTGCTGCCTGGTGGCCGTCACTTAAGCATAAGAGTGGCCATGTCCCTCCTCCAGGGTCAACCAACTTCCAGAAAACATCTAACTCTACCTTAAGCCCCCACTATGCGTTACTCACGTCGTTCTCGACATGTTCCTTTCGAAGATAGCGAGTCGGAGGTAATGGAGGTCATTGACGACACCATTGCCGCCAGCAAGAAAGATACGGAAGACAATGCAGATGATACAGCCGAGACTGTCAAGTATGCTCCTCCGGGGACGATCTGCGAAGTTCACAACCTCTACCAGACCAAACGCGATGACAATGGTCGCACGTCTTGGACCAAGAGGAAGCCCGATGATCTTCCCAGCGCAGACGAGAACTCTGAGTCGGCTCAGTATGCTCTCATTGTCCGCCATGTCAAGTGCTACGATGGTCGCAAACCTCTCCAGATCCACTCCATTGTTGTGCAGAGCGAGCATCTGAAAAAAGTCCTCGGAAAAGTACTCGATGGCTATCCAGGGGTGACCATGACCTTGGAGCGAGTGGAATTCCGCAGTCCTTTCAAGCCTTTCGTTCATCGATGGGAGCAATTCGCCAGTGCGCGTGACCGGGAGTTGGACTCGGTGACCAAATCTCACGTGGAACTTCTCTACACTATCCTCGAGGAGGAGCTACGGGATACGATTGCTCGTAAAAATGACCTGGTGCTCAACGGCGTCGTCACCCATGATCTTCTCTGGACCATCTTCGAGCCGGAGGACGAGATTTTCAGTATGGTCGGCGGTCACCCCCGAGCCTTTCAGTTCAAGTCCGGCGAGACCAATTGTCGGACCGGTGCATTCGATCTTGAAGCTAAGTACATTGATTTCGACGGTGATGACTTTGGATTCCGCGACAAGGACTTTGAAGTGCCGCCATTTGGTGGCACCATGCCCATCACGGCTCTTCCGGTGTTTCCCCTACGACATCACACTGACCAGATTACCGTTCGCGACTCGTTGGTCGCACGTGGAGCGGTCTGGGAGCATTACAAGGGGTATCATTTCAAGTATTACGAAGGCCTGGCCGTGGGTCGGTTCATGAGAAGGGAATTCAAGTTCAACATCAAAAGCCGCATCATCATCGACGCCGAGGCGTTCAACACTTTCAACCCGGACGAGTCCGTCTCAGTGTATCCTACTTGTGGAAAGGAACTCACAGATGACCAGCGACTGCTGGCCACCCCCACTTTGCGTGGATATTCGCTCAAAGAGAAACGGTGGCTGGAGTTCAATCTCGACAGTGTCAAAGATATCGTGTGGGATTCGCAGGCATTCGATTCCCTGGTACTGCCGCAGGGCCAACAGGATCTCAAGGCGCTGATTCTGGCCTTTGCCAATGCGCAGTCAAAACAAGCGGATTCGTTTGATGACGTTGTCCAGGGCAAAGGACGAGGAATCATTATGCAACTGAGCGGGCCGCCGGGAGTGGGTAAGACTCTCACTGCGGAGAGCGTCGCCGAAGTGATGAAGGTACCGCTGTATGTAATGAGCGCGGGAGATCTGGGGACGTCGGCCTCGAGCGTGGAGGAGGCATTGAAAGATATCCTGCGGATGGTTCCCAAGTGGGGAGCGGTGCTTCTGCTCGATGAAGCGGACGTGTTCATGGAAGCTCGCAACTCAACGGACTTATTGAGGAATGAGTTGGTGTCGATCTTTCTACGCATGCTGGAGTATTACGAGGTGAGTTTTCTATGTCGTTATCAATACCAATATGTTGACACTTATCATCCAGGGCATCCTTTTCCTGACTACCAATCGCGCTGGAAACATTGACCCAGCTTTTGAATCTCGAATTCACGTCTCCATCATCTACCCGGATTTGGACATAAATTCCCGACACCATATCTGGCAGCAGTTCCTGGATCGCACCGCAGGAACCGAGAAATTCTCCGATGAACAGCTTGAGACATTGGCCGGAGTGTCGTTGAATGGTAGACAGATCAAGAATGTGTTCAAGACAGCTCATTTGCTGGCATGGTCGCAGGAGAAGCCGCTTACTTACGAGCATCTACAAACCGTACTCAAGCTTAAGGATACAACTTCACCCACAGCAAACGGGGTTTGAGGGGGACTCATCCAGAGGCAGACATAGCATATTTGATTATGCATTTTAACTCTCGCAAGGCAGTAGATCAACTCCTCCTCGTAGGCTGCATCGGCCGCGATAAGATCTCTTATAACAATTTATTGGATACCTTACTGTGATATTGAGCCATGACGCAAATGGGAGGCAGGGATATTCGTCCTAGCTTACTTGGTGCACTGCCATCTGCAATAATCCCCGACGATGTCGATCTTGCATCCATTGCCAGTTCCTCTGCCTCTTGCGCGCTTGTCTGCCTCCGATTTTGCCGGCGTCGCTGTCTGGGCCTGTGCTGACTTTATGCGAACAGCTTGGTTGTCAGGGGGTGTTTTCCATAGTAGTTAGGATTGATTGAGCCTTCTTTTATGCTGTTGTCCTGTTAAGTGCGGAGGAGGGTTTTGGAATTCTTCCAGTATATTGAATTCGAATTCTTCATTTAGATATGAAATGGACAAATTTTGATCGTATGGTGGACCATGTCTACAAGTTGTAGAAAAAAGAATGGGTGAAAACCCGCCGCCGTGTTGCCGCTGTCCCTGGACAATAATTATCTAATGAAGAGCGAGAAATGGATTACTGCGGATACTGGAGGAGAATCTGAAGAAGATAAAAGTACTTGAAGTATACATAGTTAAGCTCCCTCAAAGACAGCTCGTTGAGAAAATATACAGTAAGGTTACGCACCCTTCAAAGACTGTTGGAGCGTATACGTACTGTTGACATGCCAGCCTTCTCTTCTGAAGTTTTGAGGCTGCGCACTCAACCTGTGGTGGCTGTGCATGCATGGTTAGCTTGATACGCATTCGACCTCTCAGCTCTTCTCCTTACCGAGTCCAAATATGGCTCCCACAAGAATCCTTACGATAATCGCCTTTTCCTTTGACCAGACGCCTTTCTACCATCCAGCAACATCTACCCATCCTGTCTTTACCTGCCGAGTAAAGTCGTGCCTATCCATCATAGCCTGATGGACATCTTGCCGAGATGGATGGGAGAAGTGCTTGGTATGAAGAGGATACTGAGACAAGCTTGTATCATCTTCCAAAGCGACAAAAAACTGTCCACCATGACAGTTCATGTACCCCAAGACACGATCAATATACCATCGCCTGGATCTGCGCGCTGCACATAGAGATGGCAGCAGCTAGGGCTATGCTGGATGACGTCCACGAAGCCATACCCAGGGATGCAGAGGACAGCAATACATATGTACTGGGAAGCATCAAGCAGCACAATATCGTCATTGCGTGCTTGCCAGCAGCCCAGTATGGAACGAACAACGCGGCGAATATCATAACAAACATGAAGCGAACCTTCTCCGCAATCCGCGCGGGCTTACTGGTCGGGATTGGTGGCGGCGTGCCGAGCAAGGCTGATGTGCGTTTAGGTGACGTTGTCGTTGGAACAAGGGTGATGCAGTATGATCTTGGGAAAGTCGTTGGAAATGGACAGCTCCGACGAACAGCGATCCCTAGGATTCCTCACCATTTGCTTGGGACAGCTGTGTCCGCCCTGCGTTCGAAACATGAGCTGAACCCCAGTCGAGTCCCATCCATCCTGCGGCTGAAGCTGGAAGGACACCCTGAATACGGTCGCCCAAGCTCCCCGGACCGACTTTTCCACGCGACGTATGAGCATGAATCTACAACGGGCAGCTGTGATGGGTGTGACCAGTTGAAGCTGGTTCGACGAAGCCAACGTATGCCGGACAATATAATGATTCATTACGGCGCGATCGCCTCAGGGAACACCGTCATGAGAAGCGGCACTACCCGGGACAGTGTTGCTCGAGAATTGGATGTCATATGTTTCGAAATGGAGGCTGCTGGTCTGATGGACATTCTCCCTTGTCTCCCAATTCGGGGAATATGTGATTACTCAGATTCTCACAAGAGCAAGGAATGGCAGAGGTATGCTGCAGCAACCGCGGCCGCATACGCTAGGGAATTGCTCGAAGAGCTACCTGTGGCGAAAGCGCATGCAAAATTTACCTGCATGCCCAATCCTCGTAAGTTAGCTTAGTAGACCTGGGAAGAGTCATTGCTGCTCACGCCTGACGTGCAGATCAACGTTCATTGCACGAACATCGGCAGCGCTTGCTGGATTCCCTCAGGTTCGAGCAAATGGATTCTCGGAAATCAACTGTCAGAACAGCCCTCGCCAAAACATGTCAATGGTTTCTCAGCCACCCTGACTACCAAGCATGGCTTAATCCTGAAAAACTAACACAGCATCATGGCTTTTTGTGGATCAGTGGCAAGCCTGGCGCGGGCAAGTCGACAATAATGAAGTTCGCATACTCGCGTATGAAAAGCAAATCTCGCAACAAGCATGCTATCACTGCTTCCTTTTTCTTCAACGCTCGAGGCGAATATCTGGAAAAGTCGATCTCAGGGATGTACCGATCATTGCTGCTGCAGCTGCTTGAAGGGTACCCTGATCTCCAGGCAGTTTTAGATGATTCTGACATCAATTCTCAGACTCAGAATGGATGCCCTTCCTTGGACGTTCTTAAGAGCCTGTTTCACAGTGCAGTTTCCGCCCTCGGCCAACGCTCCTTTACGTGCTTCGTCGATGCTCTCGACGAGTGTGATGAACAACAAGTTGTGGACATGGTCCAATACTTCGAAGACATGGCAGAACAATCCACAAATAACGGCATCCTGCTCCGCATCTGTTTTTCCAGTCGGCATTATCCCTATATAGCTATTCGACGGGGAATGCGACTTACACTGGAGGATCAGATAGGTCATGGCGAAGACCTGGCAACCTATGTCGCAAGCCGCCTCCAAATCGAGGACCCTGTAATTCTCGAAGACCTGCAAACTCAACTTCTCAGGAAAGCGGCAGGTGTTTTCATGTGGCTTGTGTTAGTCGTTGATATCCTGAACAAGGAATATCGGCATAATGGACTGGCTTTGAGAAAGAGACTCGCGGAACTACCGAGTGATTTGAGCGAGCTGTTCAAGGACATCCTGAGACGCGACAAGGAGAATATGGCGGGTCTCCGTCTTTGCATCCTTTGGATTCTCCTTGCAAAACGGCCCTTGCAACCGCAGGAGTTCTACCATGCGCTCTGGTCTGGTTTGGCACTAGAAGGCGAGGCTGATGAGCAAATTCCTGATGTCGGCGTCCCAGGTGCCTCAGACAGCCTTAACAGATTTAACAGATGTGTTATCAGCAGCTCAAAAGGTCTTGCTGAGGTCACAAAATCTAAGCAGCCAACAGTTCAATTCATCCATGAATCCGTCCGAGACTTCCTCGTCAAAGAAAGGGGTCTACATGAATTGTGGCCTGATTTTGGATTTGAGTGGGAGGGCTCAAGCCATGAGACACTCAAAAAATGTTGCGACTCATACTTGAATCATACCTCAGTGCGTGCGTCTAACGTGTTTCCACACGGACATAACCTACTACCAGAAATTTCAAATGAGTACCCGTTTTTGGAGTATGCTGGTCGACATGTTCTCTATCACGCTAACGCTGCGGCCCGAGCAGTTCCTCAAGATGAGTTTTTATCTTCTTTTCCCATGTCCCACTGGATCAGTGTCAACAATCTTTTCGAAAAGTTCAAGGTTCGTGAATACAGCTCGGATGCGAGTCTCTTCTATATCCTCGCAGACAAAGGATTCCCGGAGCTCATCCGCACAAGACTCAAAAAGGATCCGTATATTCATATTTGCGGAGAGAGATACGGTTACCCACTCTTTGCCGCTTTGGCCAACGGTGACAAAGATGTTGTTGCTGCTGTTCTGAAATCACCGTCAAGTGCGTGCAGTGAAGTTGATACAGATGGTCTGAACTACAGGAAAGACTTGAAACAGTACTCAAAACGAACACCACTATCCTGGGCTGCGCAGGAAGGTCGAATAAGCATTATCAAGCTGCTTCTCCAGACGGAGACGACCGTGGATGACATGGATGCGAAGGGCAGAACACCACTTTCACGGGCCTCAGAGAATGGGCATGAGGCGGTGGCAGAGCTGCTTATTGGCAATGGAGCAGATGTCAATGCCAGGGATAATAAAGGATGGACTCCACTCTTACACGCCTTAGAGAATGGGCATGAGGCGGTGGCAGAGCTGGTTATTGGCAATGGTGCAGATGTCCATGTCCATGATCATACTGGACGGACTCCACTCTTACACGCCTCAGAGAAGGGCTATGAGGCGATATCAAAGCTACTCATTGACAGGGGTGCAGATGTCAATGTCTATGATAATACTAGACGGACTCCACTGTTATATGCCTCATTATATGGCCATAAGGAGGTAGCAAAGCTGCTCATTGACAAGGGTGCAGATGTTAATGTCTATGATAATACTAGACAGACACCACTCTTACATGCCGCAGAGAAGGGCTATGAGGTGATATCAAAGCTACTCATTGACAAGGGTGCAGATGTTAATGTCTATGATAATACTAGACAGACACCACTCTCACATGCCTCAGAGAAGGGCTATGAGGTGATATCAAAACTACTCATTGACAAGGGTGCAGATGTTAATGTCTATGATACTACTAGATGGACTCCACTGTTATACGCCTCATTATATGGCCATAAGGAGGTAGCAAAGCTGCTTATTGACAAGGGAGCAGATGTCAATGTCTGTGATAATAGTGGATGGACTCCACTCTCGCGCGCCATACAGAAGGGCCATAAGATGTTAGCCAAGCAGCTTATTGATAAGGGTGCAGATGTTAACGCCAGCAACAATAAGGGATTCAACTGGGATACTTTTCTAAACAGCTAAATGAGAAGCACATTTGTTAGTGACATTTTTTAATTTCCTGGATATTTTCCACCACATAGTAACGGCATTTTGAGTATTTATTCGCTGGCAATCTCTTCCAGTGCATCAAGATCCTGGTTTAAGGATTCAAATCCGTGTTGGAGCTCATGGACAACTCTTTAGTACACTGGTGGAGGGATCTACCGGCCCCAAAAGTGAATCCAGACAGTCAGTGCGACTAAGTTATAGGTGGCTTCAAGCAGAAACTACAAGCCTTCCCAGATATTCAGCAAGAGCCGGAGCTTGTCAACATTGGAGGAGGTAGGTAAATTATGAGAAGGTACGAAGAATGCAAGTTTTGCCTGTCGCGTATACTATGTATATTTAGATGTACTTAGGGTTCCCTGGGAGGATCTGCCCTAATTGTAACTGTGTTAAACTGCTTGCCGGCTCAGATGGTTTAGACCATATCTGTAGATAACTTTGCCAGCGAGAACCCATAGCAAGTTAATGATTGGAATTTCCACATTGGCAATAACCCAGGGAAGGATATAAAGGATGTCTAAACTAAGAGATTGGCCTAAGTGCTAGGTTGTGCGAGTTGCTAGCAATAATGTTACTAGTTAGGTTAACACAGCATAGAGTATATAACACTTTAACATCATTTAGACTGACATATATAAAAAGAAGCGTTGCCAGACTTAGAGGTCTATTGTATGCCACATATGTGCTGCAATCTTGGAATAGCTTCTGAGTGGGACAGGGAAAAAGGCGATGCTAAATATTGACGAGATATGTAGAGGAATCTCTACAGCCATAGCCAATGCTGCGGAGAGAATCGTTGGGCGTATCACCACTTTAAAGAATGAGTCACATCCTATTGACTGCATTCTAGGCAGAGCGTTGAGACGCTTGCCGTAGAGATATGCCAGGAACCAGATGCTTCCATTCCCCCCAACTGATGACCTATAAAAGCCACCTCCCGTTAGCACGGCATATAAGTGCTTTCGTTTTTCGGACGAATGAACGAAGCTGCTCGTGGTGTGTAAATATGGTGTTTGATTAAGCATGGGGAGCTGTTTAGGTGGAGGGGTAGACTCGATAAACGAACTGCGGATCTTATTCCAGATCATATTGTCAGACTCTTCGTTGACGACCGCACAAGGCATGGAATGAGCGGGTAAATGAGGTGGTAAATATAAAGCCAATTCAGCATCATGAAGACCGATTTTCAAGACTTGTATTTGTTTCTTGTCAGCCTGATAGCAAACTTCGTGTCTATGTCAGCCTCGCCAACATTGGCGTATTGTTGTTGGCCTTCTTCTATTCATACAGCTCCTAAAGCCACTTTTAAGTTCCTGTAAGTCTTGGTTTTGCTAAAGTATATACTGTTTTCATGCCAGTAAATATCTTAGATATCCGATTGCAGAGTATTTACTCATAAACTCATACATCAAAGATACCTAATATGATTATATGTATTGCCTCCCCTAGGAATACATCTAAAGTCCAAGGATATCTTGCGGAAGGGTTCGCAGCATGGCCTGAGAGGTACAGGATAGTATGTCTGTGGAAGGCGCTTTCTCTTGTTTCTCACTAACCGACAAAAGATATATGTACATGCAGTGAGCTACAATCATGTACGCGGAATGACTCGCGCACACAGCGGGCTTTGAAGGTCAGACAGACCATAGCAGGTTCCGAAATCATTAAGACCCTTACGTGCCGACATGTGGTGCTAGCCACTGGAGAAGCATGCAATAAGCTACAGAATCCTTTTTATCCTGGGGAGAATAGATCTAGAAGAGTCAACCAACATTCGACGAGCTATCGTAACGCTTAGAACTGGAAAGGACAGCGAGGGGTCGTGGTTGGAACGGCCAACACTGGTGAGCAACCGAGAAAGTCATCACGGCTTGTTGATCCACCCGTCGAATACAGCCCATGATACCGCTGAAGGTATGCTTGACGCTAGATTGTCGTCTGTGACTATGATGCGACGCAGTTGGACATGTCAGTGAAACCTCCCTCTGCCCTTTTCTTTGTATTGACTTTATACAGATGTGCTTCCTCAGGAGTACTTGACCAAATCCTGGAGGCGTACTTGATGCTTCACTTTGAAAGCTTCAGGAACATAACTAACTCTTGATAGAAATTCTGAATGACGGTTGATTGTGCACTCTTCGCGTGGCCATGGGCAGTAGGCCGTCTCATCACCATGGCTGCCCTAAATACCCAAGCAGAGGCTGAGCCCGAGCGATTTGCAGCACTGGAGCGAGCCGGCTTCAGGACGGAACGCTACGGAGACCTCACTTCCCTTCTTAGTGAGCACTTCGGGCGTTATTAATGGATACAGGGGCTTCCGCATAGATACACAGGGCTTGGTGAGTTACCTTCCTAGGAAATGTCGGACGGTGTTCTCATCGGCTCCAGATCAAGGTCAAGTCTGACAGCCATATCCTGTCGTGCACTGAAGACGGTCTCATGTTTGATGATGGGACCCATCCGCGGGCCGATGTAGTTGTCTATGCCACCGGGATTACAGGAAACCTCCGGGACTCGGCACAAGAATACTTTGGCGACATCCACACGCAGGTGGAGGATTATTGGGGCACTAACCAGGAGGGCGAGATCAAGGGTCTTATGTACCCACTGGACTTATGTTTCCTGAAAAGTGACTGCGCTGGGTTCTGTCAACGGAGCTGACGTCTGTGAACTACAGATCCAGGTCTGTGGTATGTGGGAGGAGGGATGGGCCAATGTCGGTTTTTTGCTCGCTTTATTGCGCTGCAAGTCCTGGCTGATCTGCTTGCCAATCCGTTGCCGACACCAGTTGTTGAAGGACCTTGACTTGAAAGCAGGACGCAGTGGCTTTGAACACTTGGCTTGGTGGAGAACTTCGCCAGAAGGACAACCGAGATATATATTCAACTTGGAAGTATGACGAAATGGCGAAAGTGCTCCGTATGGGCCTTAGAGTCTCTTCGTATTTGTTTCCTCTTTTCTTTAAACTCATTAAGCCACTTTGTATATATGGCAGAATCAAACGCCGTCCCGTATAAGTCCACTCAGGCTCCTATCTTATGCTCTCTGTGGATGTGGATGCCTGAGGGGCGAATATGATGGAAACCTGAGGCATAGTCAGGCAACAGTAACGCTAAACCCTTTCAGGCGATATATTCGACGAATTTGTCGACCCACCAATCAGAGCCGACTAAGCCACGTGACTTCAGAGATTGTCTTGTTTCCCGATCGCCAAATCGCGATGAGTGGGTAGCTTGATCTTGAGAGATTGATGGGTCTGGCGACAACTGGAAAAAGCAAGAAAGATGAAGGCTATTCAGCTCGGTCAACTGTCTGATTTCAAGCAATCACGCTATGTGATTCATCTCTCCGATGGCAAGCGTCTGGTGTTGTTCCGTTTGCCGACTATCGAATCCTCCAAAGGCAGCAGCCCCGCGGCAAATGAAACCGAGGATGGCTGGTGCTATTATGCCATGGAGGCCGAATGTCCTCATGCTGGAGGACCTATGGAAGACTCTCACGTTGATATCGAGGATTCCGCCTACATTGCATCGTGCCCGTGGCACGCCTACGATTTTAACGTCGAGACCGGGGAGTCGAGCGTGGGCATCAAAGCATGCACGTTTCCTGTGAAGATTGGTGATGGGCAGGTCTCTGTACAGTATCCGGGCGAAGCTTCTCTGGTGCGACTTGACCCCGTCAGCGAGACGATCAAGCTGAAGAAAGGCCCTGCCGCGGAGCGTACACCCGTACAGGCCGTGTCGCAACAGACGACACCGGCCAAGTACCTTGATGAGGATGCCACATTATGTGACTGGGCGGCTCATATCTTGAATACGTCAAATCACGAACACAAGATCGAATTGACCGCTCACTTGTACGCTACATTCGCGGAAAGAGAGAAGACCTCTTCGCCGATGCCTATCGGCAGTGGATTGGTCACGCCTCCTGATCAACCACCGCGCGACGGTTTGGCGACTGTGGAACCACGGTCGATGCCCCGCGCGGGAAAGGGTGGAACGCTGAAAAGCCGCATTGCGATGCTGCATGCGCTGGCCAACATCGAACTCTGGGCGATCGATCTTGCCGTCGACATCTGTATCCGGTTTGCAGCCTTCCAAACGCAGCCGCAAGCAGGAGACACTCCCCGGGGCCTCCCTCGAACGTATTTCCACGATTGGCTGAAGGTGGCCAACGATGAAGCCAAGCATTTCTCCCTCCTTCGCACACGAATGGAAGAGATGGGCTCCTACTTTGGTGCATTGCCCGTGCATCATGGTCTGTGGGATTCCGCAATGGCCACAGCTCATGATCTGCGAGCCCGGATTTCCGTCATTGCACTGGTACATGAGGCTCGCGGCCTCGACGTCAATCCTATGACAATCGACAAGTTTCGTCGAGCGGGGGACACCGAAAGTGTTGAGGCGCTTGAGATCATTCACAACGACGAGATCACCCATGTAACGACGGGCCATCGCTGGTTGACCTGGATCTGTCAGCAAGAAGGCACGGACCCAATCCACGTCTTCCGCGCCAATGCACAGAAGCATTTTCGAGGGGCCTTGAAGGAACCGTTCAACCATGAGGCGAGGATGCAGGCCGGCCTGAATCGGCAATACTATGAGGATTTGATGGGACAAAGTGACATCGCTGTCAACTGAGAGGACAATAGATCCCCTGCTTAGGTTGTGTTATGCATTATCGTCCCGCCTGCGTACATCCTGGTCTATCTAGCCGCACCGCGCGGGGGAATTATACGGATATTGAACAAGTCATACACTGTCTAATTGACGAATGAGTAACTGTTCTTCAATCATTAAGGGGCTGGGTTCTGTCCTTCAGATTTTTGACGATGAAATTCGAAGTCAAGCACCCACACATATTGTCCTAAAAGGGCCCTGCCGACATTGTTTGCTTCGTTCACTCATTCCCGGGTTGAATGAGGATTGGCCAGCATTGATCCATTTGCGTCTCATTCTCAACATGGGGCGGAGAACCGTGCGGGGCAAATCAAGGAGTAAGCTGCTTAGGATGGTGGTCCTACTATGCGATTGGGACCAGTCTAATACCACGCAATATAGCTCTCAAAATCGGAGCACCCTGGAGCAGGATACAAGCGCAAAGATTGGATCTGGTATCACATTTGTCTCACATGACATGCACGTTACGCAGAATATTCCCAAAATTATGCCGTCGATGAGACTAATGTTCTCCTGAGAAACCACGACTCAGCCTATCTCTTTATTTCTTGCTTCTCAAGAGGGAAAATGGGGTGTCTGTGGATGTCTGTCAAGAGAGGACACCCAATCATCGAAATGGTCAGATACCCGAGCGGTCGCTTACAGGAACAAGTGCGGATTTTTCAGCGCTAACGTTGAATGAACCCGCGTCCCCGACTCATCCTGTCATGATTCAAATGATCGAGTCAGTCGGCTATCGCTAAGCCGGTCCAGAGGCGGAAAGGCACTGGGCAGGAAGCTTAGAGCCTTAGTCTATATAGTTATTCTCGGATGCATCGGGATCTCTGGTGTGTTTTCTCTCATTCAAATCGCTTCCCAGAGCAGTAATCCACAACAAAGGGTAGCACCGAGATAATGGTCCTGAATTGTCAGAATCTTTATTTCCATAGAGGATAGAATGTCAATCTTGTTTCTCATGAGTAAGGTTTTCTCCGAGTGATGGTTGTAGTGTTAATGGTTACCACAGTCTCCTCTTTTCTGGGGGACCCCAACTTCTGATCAGTATTATCATTGACCAGACCAAGTTAGTATTAGCCGAGTCAGCTCATGATTCAGTGTATTAATCCTTTTCTCGCAAGTTTCCTGATGGATATTAACGATAATACGTTCATCAATTGGCAAAGACATAGTAGTCGTAAGCTCCAAGCCACCGCCACCAAAAAACGCTTGGTTCTAGCTGCCACGGTCTAGATAGTATGCATTGTCTATTTTATTCCCCCATCTCATTTTCTGTAGGAGACACTGCGTGCTGCTTTTATCCAGTAAATAACTGCAAGGCCAGAACGGTATAGGACCTCCTCATTTTCGAGCATCTCACAGAAGGTCTACCATACTCTATCCACATATTCATATTCTCCGCAGCTCCATCAATTGAGAGAGACTAGCAAGCGCCATCTGAAGCCACTGAAGCCGGAATGGGAGGCCTAATTATGCCTGCTCGAGACAAGTCAGACAAGCTAATTTAGTGCTGACCATATCCGAGTCGAATAAAAGTGGATGATGCTACTTCACGTCAACCGGCTACCAGGTCGATTCTTACCAAAATATCACTGAGACCTTGGATTTCAGCCAGATGATGCGATTCCCGATCCAGTTCACTAACCCCCGCTGCCAGGAATTCATCGCAAGCCCTTCGTTCGGACATAGAAGGCACATGGTATTCGCTGCTCTCCCGACTCGGCATGGCTAGTGCCACCATAGAAACTAGTCATGAACGTCGAACAGGCGCGTCATCTCGATCTCCGATGGATATTACTGGACTACCAAAGCCGATGATGCTCCGACCCCAGGGCAACAATGCAACCCCAAAGCCGAATGCTACTGTCTACCTCTAGCGTGTGGTAGTACGGGGAAGTAGTCATTTCATTTTGAATGATCCAGGCAGCCCGACTCCGGATGGAACCCCGCGTGCAGTCACCCCAGACGGGGTAGAACTGACTTATTAATACCTGACAGCCCTCGTTTTCATGACTGTGAGACACTATATTCGTTTTCATTGTTGATTCCAGCTCTGCATAGTGATTCACATCAAGATGGCTGTCAGCCAGTCAGTTGTTGGCCGCGCCAACGCCGAAAAGCCCCATGGTCTAGCGGGTATGCTCAAGAACCCGTACGTCTTCATGACCTGTGCTTTTGCTTCGCTGGGTTGTATCATGTACGGGTACGACCAGGGAGTCATGGGTCCCGTACTCGTGATGGAGAACTTCAAGAATCATTTCCCGGACCTGATGGGCTCAACCATCCAGGGCTGGCTGGTTTCTGCTCTGGAATTGGGTGCCTGGGCGGGTGCTCTGTTCAACGGCTACCTGGCAGATCGTATTTCCCGCAAGTACTCGATGATGGTCGCCGTGGCCATCTTCACGCTAGGGTCCGGATTGCAGGCTGGTGCGCAGACTCCTGCGTACTTCTTTGCTGGTCGTATCATCGGTGGTGTGGGAATTGGCATGTTCAGTCATGTACGTCTGTTTCTTCACGGTAACATTCTATACTCGCTCACTGTGGGGCCATCTCTAGGTTATTCCTCTCTATCAAGCTGAGATTGCTCCGCCCGAATTGAGAGGATCGCTCGTATCACTGCAGCAACTCTCCATCACTATCGGAACATCCATTGCTTTCTGGCTGGACTACGGTACTTGGACCCTCCTGTCGCCGTCCCTCCATCGCGTCTGACAACTTACTAATAGGAATGCAATACGTCGGCGGCACAACCTGCAATCCTGAAGGCATTGACAACCCCTACCTGCCCGATGGCACCTACAACGCCGCTCAGAACCACGGACACACCTGTCTGGGCCAAAAGACCATCTCTTGGCGTCTGCCGCTGGCTTTGCAGATTATTTTTGCATGGATCCTCTTCTTTGGAATGTTCTTTTTCCCCTTCTCCCCTCGGTGGCTGATGACCAAACACCGCGAAGAGGAAGCTGTTGTTGCCCTCTCCAAATTGCGGCGACTGAGCCCCACAGATCCCTTGCTGAAGGCGGAAATTCTCGAAATCAAGGCTGCAGTTCTCTTCGATGAGGAATCCGACCAGGAGGCCATCCGCGTGGGAGGGAGACTGGCCCCGTGGAAGGCGCTTTTCGCTCCCAACATGCTCAAACGTCTTGTCCTCGGCTGCGGTAAGCTTATATCTTCTGCCTATACAGTTGCCTTCCTAATGATCCTTGTCTATAGGAACAATGATCTGCCAACAATTTACGGGTATTAACGCAGTTCTGTACTATGCCCCTCAGATCTTCACTTCGTTTGGCTTCTCCTCGACCAAGACGACTCTCCTAGCCACCGGAGTGACCGGTATTCTGCAAATCACCTTCACGCTACCGGCCGTTCTCTATCTGGACAAGTTTGGTCGCAAGACCTTCCTCATCGTTGGTGCAATTGGCATGTTCTGCTGTCACGTGGTTGTCGCTACTGTCGAAGGACTGTACGAGGATAACTGGAATAAGAACATGGGCCTGGACAAGGCTCAAGGCTGGGTTGCAATTGCCTTTATCTGGCTGTTCGCTGTAAACTTTGCTTACTCCTGGGGTGTGTCTTCTTCTTTCCGGTATGATCGTTTCATTCACTGACCCTACTAGGTCCCGTCGCGTGGGTTCTCGCGCAGGAGATTTTCCCCAACAGTATGCGATCTCGGGGCGTGTCCATTGTGGCCTCGACCAACTGGATGTTCAACTTTATCATCGGTCTGACTACCAAGGACATGCTCAAATCGATGAAGTACGGTACATACATCTTCTTTGCTATCTTCAGCGCCCTGGGTGGTCTGTTCATCTGGATATATGCTCCTGAAACCAAGGACAAGACTCTGGAGGAGCTTGATGTCTACTTTGGGGGAGCCGAGGACAGCATTGCCGAGTCCGATCGGCTTCGGATGCTGCGTATCAATGAGCGCCTGGGGCTGGCGGGAGTGGAAAGGGTCGAGGATTTGGCGGATGAGAAGATGCCTATTCACCACGAGGTCAGGGAAATGTAGAGGTTGAAGTCAGTGTGATTGGCGCAGCTCATGAATACGGTGCATTTTTGTGATTTCCTACAGATGGGTGGGGTTCAGATCGATGAGCCTATTGTGTGAGACTGTTGCCTTTAATTATTGAATCATCTAAATAACATGAGATATACAGCCCTCCGACTCGTCAATGATATGATCAGCTTGTCTATTGACCCCTTCCTGTGGATTAAGCTGATTCGGCTCTACTCACAGATCTGTAAGCGTGCCATTAGTTGAAACTGCCTGTTGTCCTCTTTCGGCTGTTCGTTCAAGCTTGATTGTTGAGGAGCTGTCTAAGGCCGAATTTCAGCATCCTTGGTCCCCACAAACGCGACACCAGAAGCCAAGATAGGATACGAATGCCATGGCCTAGTGCTTCCCTTGGTGGAGGAGCTGTAATGTGTATAGAGTGCTCGTGATCTAGATATGTATATACTTGATTAATATGCAATGACTTTTCGCTCCACAACATGTAGGTCATCGATGCTGCTTAACAATAGTCATACAGCCGACACGCGTTCAGGAAGAGGATTTTGCCAGAGAATGAAGAGGAGTTCGGCGTTTAGACCTGCATGTGGTGATAATCTCCGGATTAACCTCGGGGTTGTGGGACTGTGGGGGGGGAGGCTGTGGAGATGGCATTCTTTTATGTCTGACTATGTACAAATTCTCCGAAGCTCTTTCTGGAGTAAGGAATGCTATTTGTCCAGAGGAGGTGAAGATCATCATGCTTAGCTGGCTAACTGAGCTGCCCCACAAATTAATATCGATGAAGCTTCCAGGAGAGCAGTTCAATGATTGCGTTTGACCCCGGACTTGGAGGAAGCGGGGGAAAGGGACGAGAGTACAAGTGTGGATTGTTGCTATAAAGGTGAGAAGTATTTCCTCGTCATTCTATCTGTACTCATCTCGCATCATCCTTCTTTGTTGCAAGTAA